AATAGTTACAGGTTGGTGACTGAAATCGATTGATAGTTTCTCAATTAACATTCTCTGATCTTCTTGAATTTTCCTATTTATAATAGAATATGTTTTTGGGGATTTTGCTAAAAACAATCTAATTTTAAATGGATATCTAACCCTCATCCCATCCCCATTACAATCAATAACCCTATCCCAGTTTTCCGGTAAATCACATTTGTTAAAATCATCCTTATCTAGCAAAGTATACCCCTTCTCCCTTCCCTCCCTTCCTTTACCATAAAACAAAAAACGAAAACAATCATGATCAAAATAGCATTAGACCTAGATTTACTTCTTAATTTAAAGAGGACTGATAATCTCAGGTTATCGACGTGTCGAGTTAGCCTCTCTTTATCAACAATTGGCTTGTCATAAGTTCTGTAAGAAAAATAATGAAAATGGAAACATTGTAAGAGGGGTTGTCTATGAACAAGTATACTGAAAGCAATGGAAAGGCAGAAGAAAAAGAAAGGCAACAATCACTGCGTGTATTATTGTTAAAAAAAATTAGTTTAGTATGAACCTTTCTATGTATGAGCTTATACGAGTGCATCTCTCTTGTTAATTCCGTATTTCAGCATGTTCAATTGTGATGGTAATTTAAGTACAGTTTGAAAAAATGATACAACAATAAATACCTAATAAGATCGGTAGTCAAGTTCTCTTCATCTTCCCAATTATTATGAAACGCGCTGTATCCTTTCCATTTCACAAATATTGAACCTGAAGATTTTAATTATAAAACTTTAGCATGTAAGAAAATTAATGACATACATCGTAGACCAGGGCAAATGGTAAACTCACCGTTCCATAAGTAAGTAACTTTATTTAGCCACATATCGCATATGAGCGAATAGCTCGTTTAAATGCAAATGTGCCATAAAAATTTGACATAATTTACGTATATAAGTAATAAGTAATAGGTAAGAAATAAAAATTAATTATCTAGAATGAATAATTGCTATTAGTAACTAGACTATTTGTTTACAAAACAAACAGCTGCAGTCATACGATGAGGACAACTGTATGTCTCGCAAATTTTTCCTAAATATAGAAAGGGATTCCGACATCCTTATTTTGTCTGTCAGATTGTTCCACTGTTTGCTAGCCTGGTACGTAAAAGAATGTTGCATATAAGATGAGGTTGGTCTTGGAAGAACAACCTTAAGATGGCCACGTAGGCTGTAACCATTACTTCGCAGAGAAAACATTTCCTGAATGTAGTTCGGTGTCTGGTTATGAATACTTTCATATACAAGTATAAGTGCTTGTTCTATGCGTCGATGTTCTAAACTTTTAATATATGTCCTCCTCGAGATTAGCCTTTCCACGGCAAAATAATCAGAAGAAACGTTAGCTTTCCTTTTTCTACATTTTTTTTTATCCCAAAGAAGGTCCGCAGAAGAAACATTGTGCATTTGCAGAAATAAACCGCGGCTATTCTTGCTCGAATCCCTAACGCCGCTCGCCATAATTTGCTGTATGTAATCTGATGCAAGAACGCATGCGTAGGAGGAATTTTTTTTGGATACACGAGCCCCCGTTTCGAACCGCTGACTGTCAAAAAATTCAGCGAGTCGCTGAATTTCTGGGCGATGGATGCGTGGGTTTGCAAATCACATGTCACATATCAATCATCCAGTTACTGAGCCTGTCTTTTCATTGGTCCATTTGAACCAAGTGGCCCCAACAATAGTTCTCCCATCTTATTCTACGCCCACAACTGCGTGGTCTTTTACCTCGACAAACGCTGCCGTGAGATTAGAGCTACGAACCATTCCACATTGCTCTCTAAAACCTAAGACATTCTGAGACGATGCCGCTGAAGGAATCTTACGTGATCTGGAACAACAAAGGCGGAGTGGGGAAGACTACTCTCACCTTCCATATAACCACACAGTACGCTATGCAGCATAGAAACAAGAATGGAGCTCCTTTGAATGTTCTTGTGATCGATTTATGTCCACAAGCAAACATTTCGATGTCGCTGTTAAGCTCACCAGAATTTTATGGAAGTAGGCATCTGCCTACTTTGTTCAGAAAGGGAAAGACCATCAGTCACTACCTGCAAAAATCGACACAGAGGGGACTCACTGTAAAGGCGAAAGAGTTTCTCACTCACGTTTCTCAATACAACCCTCATGTGCCTGCGAACGTATTCCTTCTCTGCGGGGATATGAGTCTTGAATTGGTAGGGCGCCATCTTGAACATTTGCGAAGCGGGTATGATGTACTCGACGATAGACCATGGTTGGATAATACATGTTCCATTCGGAACTTCATTGAGGGTTCAGAGAACAAAGTCGAGGGCGTGAGTCAAGGCGATGAAGAATGGGTCGTCTTCATTGACACAAACCCAGCCTTCTCAGTGTACACCGAGATTGCACTCGCAGCAGCAAAGAAGCTAATCATCCCAATAAATTCTGATGATTTTTCTGTTGAAGCTCTGCGAGCCATGCTGGATTTGGTTTATGGTATTCACCCAGAACAAGACCAAGAAGAACAGAATCAGAACTTTGAGGCGTACCGACAGTACATGTTTTGCAGCAAAGCCACGAGGTACAATCTTAGGTTACCGAAGATCAATTTGCTGGTAAACAACAGAGTGAAGATGTATAACACACGCGCCATCGCAGCCTTCTGTGCCATGGGCAAACAAAACCTCAAAGTCCTTTTTGAGGCTTACATGCAAAATCAAGCGCATAAGCAGTGCTTTTCAGCGTGTGAAAGGCAAATTGATGACGAAGATGCCTTCGCAAAGCAGTATTTTATAGACCTTCATGATTTCCATTCGACAGCTATAATCTCTCTTCATATTGGGTGCCCACTCTCAGTTCTTAAGGGAATGAAGGGGAAAGCTAAAATCAGTGAAGAATTTGAGGCCAAAATTGACGGAAGTTCGTTGGCGACCTACATTACCACACTCGAAGCCCTCATACAAAAGCTGTGAGTTGCGATCTTAGCTTTTTGTGTTATGCTTACCAGATCATTCGAAGAGAATCCTTGGATAAAGCTTTTTTTATTATTAGATCATAAACTGAGCTTTACAGCTTTGCCATACCTTTCTGTATTTCAATAGAATTTTGTTGTTGCTTTTTACTTAAATAACCATGATGATGAACTGAGATGAACTAGGAGAAGTATTTATCTTACAATGACTAATAAGTCGATTGAGCAATTAATGCTCAAATTTAATGAGTAGATTTCGACTTCATGGGTAATAGTTTTCTATATTTTAACAATTTTTAAGGGGTTTTCGGACCAAAAATAGTCGTAAATGCTGGTTTTAATTTTTGATGAATACTTTGTGTCTCGATTGTCGTAAATGGGTCTGTTAGCTTGAAATTTTGAATTGGTTGTTGTGGATATTGTAAGAGACAGAAAATAAACGTTATATGGTGTAGTCTTCGGTAACCGCACGCAAAATATCGCTTGTAAGTATGCAGTATTTCGGTTATTCGGTCAATATCATCTTTGTAATAGTCGCGTTGTTGTTATTTCAGCGAATCTTTCTCTTTCACGTGCAATTTGTGAATGGAATGAATACAAGTTATGTGCAGATTAGAAACGAACTAGCAAGTGAACAACTGATTAAAGTACAGTTTCAAGTAGTTATGAGTGGACGCTACAGTTATCTTTGCAATCCCACGCCTCAGTATACCGACTTAGTTAGAAGGTCTCTGTCGCAGATAATAAGAGTGAAATAGGCGTAATACTATAAATTATAGAAAAAAGCTTTAACTTTGAGTAGGTAAATATAATCATTTACCAAAAATAAAGTGCTCATTGAATTTTAATGCAGGAAATTAATTTGTACTCCTTTATTTGGGTAAAAGGAATGCTTAATGTAAAAAAACTAGAGAATTTCACGATTAACTAAATCCTTAGGTGGAAACTGTTATCTAGATGTTGCTTATAAGGACAACTTTATTCGGTCGATTCTTGAGAACGTTAGAAATCAACGAGTCGCTCATACTGACCGCGAAATCTTGATACCGACAGCGTATGTTGAACTCGATTTTATCTTGATGCCAGCAGAGGTGCATATCGGGTGGAAATCTTGCCATATGCATCGTTGTAAAACTTCATAAGTTGAGTGAGAAAAAATGAATCAAAAATCGCAACACCAAGGTCAAATAATTCTAAAGAAATTTCCGTGAAAAAGCGGAAGTCACTCATCAAGCAGAACTGAATTCTAAGAAATCCAGGATGGCTTAAACACGTCTTCATAGTAGGATTATCGGTCTTGGAACTTTCTGGCAAGGTTCGCCGCGTTCAGATTAAATATTTCCGCAACTGGAAAAGGAGACACTTCTTGAAGTCACTTAAAATGCACAACATGCCGTACTTTCTCGATTAAACATATAGTACTATCTCGATTGAACGCCCCTCGGGAGTACGGTCAGGGCCTCCATCAATTCGCCCTTGGCCCCCTTTTGTCTAGAACCGTTACTTTACCGAGAGGCAAATTTTCCTGAGGTTTCGCAATGGCAGCAAAATCCCAGAAAGTTTAGGTCGACTATATTAATTTAAATCGATTTCAGAAGTATAGAGACATCAAATTGACACAGAGTAACCATCTCAAACGTCTGAATTTGCAGATCGCGTTCAAAGTCTGGCCCGCCTGGGGTAACACGAACACAAAGCAATCTAAATAAAGACTTATTTAGATTGAGAATTATACCCGAATAGAACTGCCCTAGAGAATCGTTCCTGGTTCGATTTCTCTCATAAGACGAAGTTTACCACTGAAATATCTATGACAACCCTTTGTCGGGGAGAGCTTTTCCTCCTTCCCCTCTGAGGCCCTCACCCCTCTTTCTAGTTTCTCACATCTCCCATAATCAACTTTGGCATTTGCGGGAAGGTAAAAAAAAAGTTATCGCAGTGACCGCTGACATTCAAGTGAGTAACGACGAGCTCAACAGTTAATATTAATGCCCGGGAGTCTGGGAACAAAAAGGAACAAACAAACAAACAAATATGGCCGCGAGGGTAAAGTGAAGGGAACAGTGAGGTTAGTTTCTGTCTTTCTTCGCTTTTAATCGCGTGATTGTACACGATATTTGCTTATATTATAATTTTAAGGAGATTTATAATTTTTTTTCAGGGATCTACTATCCTCTACCTTTTCGTACCAAACATTTATTTTTGATGTCGAGATGCATGAAATTGTTTTACGAAATAACTCGCGTAGATTTTTTTATTATCCGAAGGTTTGTTACGTACCATTCAATGAATATTTTAACGCAATAATCTCAGCAAAAATTTCTATAACATGAAATAAAAATTTTATCCGTTTGTACATCACGGTATATCATCATACATTAAGCTCATACCCTTGTGACGTTTAATGAATTTCCCCTGATATTTTCCTTAATTCGTGTTACGAAGAATTTGCTAGACAGCTTTGGACTGTTCGAGTATCGATTTGATGTCTATCTCAAACATTTCGCCTTATGGTGCTACAGAATATTCAAGATGCAAATATTATCGGATTCCATTTAGGTATTGATGATGATTATTTTTTTCAGTATCTGGGAAATTTGCCATGGTGTTTTTTCGTATCTACAATTCGTAACTTTTGATACCTTTTAGTTTGTCGTCGCAATTTTCCCTTGATCATTGAGGGTAGATTACCTTTTTGTGTATGGTTTGGTGAAAGAATAGGTTCTGATGTACGTTAAAGGATTCAAGTACTCAACCATGATTTGCCATTTTTAATGAAAATTAATGAAAATTTAGATGATTCAGCATTACGGTTTTTGCTATGTCATCACACTGATATAATAACGAAAAGTTCGAGATCTGAAAAACTTGATTTGTGATTCCAAAGGTTAACTGAAAATTGCAGACAGTTAAACAAATTGTGTTTTCATTAATTACATAAATCCAGAGCAAGTGTAGATCTATGCATATGATGTGTGTCAAATGTTCTATACATTGCCTTAGGAAATCTTCATCAGGAAGTGATAAATCAGGATACAATGTACTTCATTTATGTTTTTTATCAGAATAAATCACTAACCTTCACAAATGCTGCAATCTGATTGGTAATATCACTGGGTAATTCTATTTAGTAACAAAATAAAATAATAGTGTGGGACTGTATTGTTGTTAACTCTTAAACTCTCAAGATCTCATTAGTAATTCTCCTTACTGTCTGCTGTATAGTTCTTGTGATGTTAGTTTATAGAATATGATATTGAATCAACAAATAATCCCCTAATTGATATTTTTCTTTTTTCTTGTCACTGTCAGCTTGATAGTGTATTGTTATTGTAAGGAGAAATTCTGTCTTTGTCACTCGTGGGAGTTAAAGGGTTAAGTTCAGAAAGACTTATAGATTTAAGCTACAACAATGAGATTATTTGCCCTTGATTTCTGTGGGTGTTAGCTGATTTGTGCTCTTCCCTCATCAACTATCATGTGATAGAAATCTCAAGGGCACCATCTAATATTTACTTATTTGAACACTCAATTCTTTCAGCACCCCTATATAGCACTTAACTTTGTGCTCCAGAAGTCATGGGTCAGAGGTACACACTATTCTTCACAGCACGTGAAGGCCGTGAAGATGACTTGCGGTGGGCCCTCCATGACAGGAAGATCTCCCCTGACCTGAGAGACCCAGACACAAAACAGACAGCTCTTCATCTAGCTGCCGCCAAGGGTCGTGTGGGTTGTGTGAAGCTGCTTGTGGATGCTGGTAAGTGCTTTCAGGAAAATCCTCAAGTTACCATCTCACCTCCTTTAGTGATCAGAGTAGTAATTCACTTTATAATTTTGATACACTGCCATGCAAACCGGTAACAAGATTATGAAATTTATGAAACAAGGAGATATTCCATGGTTAGAACACCAGTTTCTTAGGACTGTCTATGTTCGATAGCTGGGAGATACAGTAGCTTAAAGATCTTGAAAGTGAAAGGATCAGAGGCAACTCTCTTAGAGAGGTCAAGTTGTTGATTAGTTAGAGTGCAAGCATTAGCTAATAACCTTGGGAAATTGAAGAATATTTGTTCTATGTGCCACTTAATTCTCCAGAGAGATTTTTAAATGTAAGTAGAAAATTATGAGAAATTAGTCTTTGTTTGTAGGCAGGTACAAAAAAAAATCTTCAAAAAATGATCTCCCATAAAACCACCAGAGTAGCTGGTAGAAATAACTTACGCATAAAAAATCTTTAGAATATGACTAACACACAGGACTCTATTCATACATGTGATAATTGTACATGTCACTTCACCTGATAACAAGCTTAAACTACCACGAATGACCAACACAGAATTTCTCTGCACAATATCAATACAATATCAAATAGACAAGTGAAAAGAATGAAGAATGATATAAATCAGGAGATTAGTATTTGATTCAATACCAAATTCTCCGATCTAACTTCATTAGAATTGTTGGGCAGACAGTATGGAGAATTACTAATGAGATCTTGGGAGTAAGAATGTTTGACCAAGCGCACCAATCTCTTTATTTTTACACCTGTTCAGCCATTTTTTAACATGGGAAGAGGAGATATGGTTTTAAAATAATTCTGTGGAAGTACCTATTTCAACCAAAAAAAAACCTTAGCCATTCTTTGAGGAAGTATTATCTTATGTTATTGATTAAAGTATTGTTTATAACTATTTGTCAATGGTCCTAAATTATGTTTTAACTATTTCTCCAACTCAAAAATTGGCAGGAGCAAAACGAAATGTACAAGAAAAAGATGGTCTTACTCCGCTGCATCTGGCTGTTTATCATGGCTATGTCAAATGTGTGAGTCTACTGATAGATCATGGGGCAGATGTGAACTGTACATCAAGGTAATTTGCTTCTGATAAATATTAATGATACAATTTTGAGCACAGTAAGGTGGCTTATCGTGTAGGAAAACTGACAAAAGATTGAAAAAGACTTGTAACTGTGGAAGAAGTTTAGTATTTGGAATAAAAAAACTCCATTAATTGCCCTCCAGTAGTCTGTCTGTGTATCTTTCTGACTGTCTCCATCTGTTTGTCTGTCTGTCCATCTGTTGGTCAGTCCATTGATCAGTCAGCAGTCAGGTGGTTAGCCAGTTGGTCATTTGGTCACAGTAAAAGAAAAACTAAGAGAAGGAAATGTAAACAAACAATCTTATCAACCAACAAACAAAAAAGCAGGAAGAACAGACAATATTGATAAGTCAGTCATGTAGGAACATGTCTCAAGTGTCTCACTTGTTATATATCTGTTGCCAGGTTTGGTAGCACCCCCTTACATCAAGCGGCATATTTTGGACACTGTGATTGTGCGGCTGTGCTGCTGGCTGGTGGTGCTTTGGTTAATGTGGAAGAAGCATGGGGTCAGACGCCCTTATTTCTAGCAGCGCAAAGAGCTCATAGGTTAGTTCTTTATATTCTAAACAAGGTACATTTTTAGCTTGAATCTCTTGATTGTATATCTATCTCAGAGAAAATTAAATCTCTCCAAAGGTTTGTTTTTATTAAAAGTTACAACACCCACATGTGTATGAAAAGGAAAGTCTCAGAAAGACATGAAAACAACATGTTGTTCACCTTGTTGTTTTGTTGTCCAATAACAGATCATGTAACTGATCTCTGGAGATTTTTTCTTGGAAATTGATCATATTCATGTTTGTATGACCCTAGAATAGAAAGCATCAAATGTCTGCAGGATTTCAACTGAACTGTAAGGGGCAATTAGCCAATGTCACATTATTAAAAATTTACATATCAAGCTGAAAGACATTTAACTTCACTGCTTCTTTGTTGAAAAACAAAGAAATAAATAGTTATGCTAAGAAAATTTAGTACTAAGCTAAAGCATGGTTTTCAAGGAGTTGGGCATTTAGACTCAAAATATATTTCTAATCTGTTCTTTGTCAAACAAAGTCTTCATCACTAGAACAAGTGGGTAATGCCTCATCCCCTTCATCTACCTCACATTCATCATGATCATCCACCTCTTCCAAATAAAATACTTTTTCTTCTGTGGGTGAACCTCTACATGATCACGGGCATATATTTGCATGACTCTGTGGTGTTCAAATGTTTTTTCTTTTTGTTTTCTAGTGACGTTGTAAGGCTTCTGTTAGAGTATGGAGCATGTGTAAACCAAAGAGATAAAGCTCATTACAAGACAGCCTTACACGTGGCGTGTGAAGCTCAGAATGTCGCTTGTGTCCAGTATTTACTTGACGCTGGGGCAGATCCCAATGTCCAGGCTGAGAGTGGCCTGACTCCTCTGCATATTGGTATGTAGATCCCTGAAACGTCATCAGACACTAAATTGTTGCATAATATATATATTATATTTCCATTTTAAGCAAGTAGAGCCTTAAATGTTTCGATCATATGTAAATTACGTCGGCCTCGGTGGATATACCGACTCATACGCTCTGATGAAGAGCTAACGCCAGAAATATCAGCTCTAGAAACTCTTAACGGTGGCAAATTTACATTGTCAACTCAGTTGATAAAAACCAAGCTATCGGCCATTAGTCGGTCAAATGTCGGGTTAGTGGTCGGCCGAGAGTCGGTCAATAGTCGGTTAATAGTTGACAAAGACTCGATCTATAGTCGGTCGAGCTCCAAACGACTTTATAACCTGTCCACATCTTGACCGAGAATTGGCTAACTATCGGACAAGTGTCGGTAAACCATCGGCCGAGTATGGACAGCTATAAACTGGCCACTGGCTGTACGAAAACCGTCTTAATGAACTTTTCCATGGTGTAAAATTCATGAAAAGCAGAGTAAAGCTTTAGAAACATTCGAACGGGAAAGAACTTTTAAGTGTGTTCACACTCCTTGCTTTACAGCCCTGAGAGGGGAGGAGTCGGGACCATTGTCACACCTTTTGATAGAGTATGGCGCTCGAAGTGACGTTGTAGATGACAGCGGTAATTCAGCGGAGACTCTCGTCCAATCACTGCTGACTCGTTACGGGAATGGTCCAAATATGGAAACAGTTTTATCATATCAGCAACTTTTGGAATTATTTTGGGAAAGCCACGGTGAGTTCTCGAATGGTTCATTTCCTTTGTTTTTAGCGGGAATATTTGTCGCTACGTTGGGGTTTATCCACTCAGGGCTTTCAGGTGTAAGTGACGAATGCAAAACCATTGCGCGTTTTCTTTTTTCGAAAATTTTTATCTTGATCCAAGATTATCCCGTGCTTTTATTAGGTTGCAATAATTTCATGCGGTTTTCATGATTGTACCAACCATCCTCAGTGACAAGCCTACAGGGTAAACACAGTGGTCAAACGTCAGGCATGCGCGTGGTGATCAATTTTGGCAGCCCGCGCGCCAATTTCCCGCGCAAAATTTCAAAGGAAAATATAAGAAACAACCGCTGTCTCGCAAGTTAAGCATAAGATTTCTGAAACGTTTATAGAAATCTGAAAAAGGAAACAGAAGAAGGGAAAAGGAATATTCGACACTTTTCGATTGCAAAGCTTATTCTAGTACGGCTATCCTGCTGATTTACCACTCTGTGCTTTACCAAAAAGGTAACACACTTTTATAACACCATGACTTACTGCCTTGTATTGTCGTTTACTTGTGTGAGACAACTTGGTTCTGACATCTTGAAAGCACGCTATCTACACATCACATCTACATACGCAGACGTTTGACCGCGGTGTCGCTAAGCTACTTAAATTTTTCCCACCTTTGTGCTTTTTAGTTTCTCTAGATACGCAAATAACACGATTTTCCCGCGATAGATGCCGATTGCCTGCCACAGATACCCGATTTTCCCGCCTTTTTTGCTGTCGGCATAATTTTCGCGCGCCCTGGTCACCGAAGTCACCTAAAGTTCTCATTGGATCAACACTTTCTTTAACACAGAGATTTTTACTTTCACCAGTTCATCCTAACTCTTCATTTAGTTTGGTTGATCAATTTGTTAATTTTCATTTGCAGGAAAACCCATAAGTCTGAAACGCCTTTGTCGTCTTTCCATCCGCAAGTTGCTGTCTCCCTGTCGTATTGATATTATCAATTCTCTGAACATTCCTTCCTGCCTCAAATTGTACATTTTAAACGTTGTTCAGTGCAAGAATGTGGACACTATGATGTCAAATTAATTTCCAATTTGTACAGTCATAATTTATTACTGATGGGTGTGCAGTGAGGAATAAACATCCTCACTTAGTTGACTTCAAGCGCTATACTCCTCAGTTTTCCCCTTGGAAAACGATCTTAGAGTTTTATTGTTAATAGGATACTATTTCTTTCTATCTTTTTTTTAGAATACCTGTATTAGTTATCGATAGATTTTATCCCCACGAAAAGTATAGATGGTCAATTTTGCGGTGAAAAACAATTTTTGGTTTGCGTGTTAAAACTTTCACCTCTAGTAACTTGATGAAAATTCTCCTTACAGTCTGCCATTCATTTTCTGCAAAGTTTGTTCTAAGAATTTGGTATTGGATCAACTATTCATCCCATTATTGATAATTTTCTTTATTCTCATCACTTGGCTGCTTGACGTTGTTTTGATATTGTAAGGAGAAATTCTGTCTTGGTTACTTCCTGGAAATGAAAGGCGTAATAGAGAAAATTCCTATCTGTCTCTCTCGTGTGTAGCACGTGATTAACCATAAATTTGTAAAAATTAAAACATTGTTCACGATAATATATGTTTGATTTTAATGCATTCATCTGAAAGAAATGTTAACAATGTGATGTGTTTAATGGGTCCTTTTTGTGATCGCTTTTCGATTGAGTTATGACAAAGTAATTACCACTGCGAATTGAAAAAAAATGAAAATGCGACAAAACTAATGAGAAACCGAAGTAAACACTTATGAACTGTCTGAAGCGCGGAGAAAACGCGGGTGGCAAAGCCGTGGCTAATTTCAGTTTTACATCCGATTTGTCGTGAGGATGGCGCGAGTTTCCTGGACCAATCACAGGGCAAAATGAACCAACACCGACGCACTCCACCCACGAGATTACGTTGGACGGAAGCGTTAGACACTGCACTGAAAACTGCTCTACTTTTAATATTTACAACGAATCTCCAAGAAATAAGAATGGGCTTGATCACAATCGAATAACGGTCCATGCACTTGTGTTTACTACAAACCTATAGATTCACATAGTGACTTGTCGCATGCATCACGTCGAGGAGTCCACTCCTCTTTGGCAGTTTCTCAGACTTCGTCGTTTATGAAGAGACGACTCTGATTTTTTCGACAAATCAGAGGCAACGCGCCAGTTTTTCGATAAAAGTGGCCATCCTGTCTCTGTCGTTCAAGCGAGCTACCACCGCGTCCAACAAACTGATCAACAGTCAGCACTTCAAACGGCTCAGAAGGAAAATACCGATCGCGTTCCATTCACTCTCACATTTTACCCTCACAACCACTCGGTTAAATCTATCATTCTTAACAACTTTACATTACTTCAAAATGACTCAGAGACTAGTTTCTTAAGCAACTTACTCCCTTTATTAATACATATCACAACCGGAAATCAGAGGGGCTTTGAAACCAGTATCTAACTGATGAGAAAATACAAAATCTATGGAGTATATAATAACTATAGCTATTTTCCAAACTTTGCATAAGCAAATAAAAAAGTTCTCTGATCACTATACGTCATCGTTATGGTAAATTTGCCTAAATTTACGATATAACTAAAAAGTATTTTGAAAATCAGTTCAACGCAACAGCATCGCAAAACGATCTTTGAGAAACGAATCAAAATGGTGAAACGTCTAAATTCTCAAGTAAAGCTGAAGTTAACATCATGACTTAGCTAACACTAGATGCAGCAAAGTAAAAAAATGTATAAACTATTACAGTTTTCTTAAAACTAATCATAGGTGGTTTACATTATCTGGTTTGGGTTATGATTTTATCCAGAGGACCCCTCACCCTTATCCAGACGCTTAACCACGAGTCAGTCTTTCGTGGTGACTCATGCCTGTTTCTTCATAGCTGAAGACTGTAGTTGACCCGTTCTGTGGCTGGTATTGGTCTATTCCCGTTGGTGTGAGATTTCCAGTCTGTTTGTCTCTTATCATCCAGTATAGATTTTTGGCGGGATCCTGAGCAGTAAAAATCAAAGAAATGTTAGTTAAAGGAAACTTTTTGTTAGGAGACTTCTTCTGGATGGTATCTGGATTCGGCAAAAATTTGCGAAAATAAATTTACGATGGAGCGTTGCATGAAGAAGCATTTCTGTTGACATGGAAACCTTACACATATGAAGAGTTTACGTTTTCATTTGGTGATGCAAGAACTGCTGTTTAAATTATACGTGACGCGTGAATTTTTCTAAAAATTCGTGCGTGAAATTGAATTAAAACACCTCTCCCTCCCCCCCCCCCCCCTTCGATATCCTCTCCTAAGAAAAAGGCAGAAAGAGAAAGAAATCATCAGAATGCAATACCTGTTCAACTCCGTCCATGGCGATGACAAAATCCCCCACATTACCGTAGTAGGTGGTGGAGTATTTATTGAACGGCCCATCAACATCTTCGTTTGCAGCTTTCTTCATGATGTCAATAAGAAACGTACCTTGAGAAACCTTTGTGGTGTAGGGAGCAGGGATTGGTTTGTCCACAATATTTGTATCCCAGTGCAGTGCAATTGTAACAGTGATGGGTTCCATCTCGTTCTAAGTAGATGCAAAATGTCACTTTTGTTTTATTTTGGTGCGATGAAATTATGATGATGTCTATGAAGGCTCAACTTCGTTCCCAACTCTCTCTCTGACTCGTTGTCCGAGTAAGAGAGAGCCTTGGGAACGAGATTGGTGGAGAGTAGAAGATAGTTCCGTCACAAACTTTATCGAAATGAGCCATCATCAGTAAACTGTGAATTACGCTTCGCCATGTTAGCCAAGGCAATTTTAGAGTTTTCTTGCGAGAAAAACGTCATCATTTAAAGATCACAAGAACAGCTCGGCTGCCAAAACCAATGAAACTGAAATATCTCACATGCACTCAATACAAAGATTATCGAGTTAATCCGGAATAAAACATATAAGTCTCCTCGACCAAAAGACGGACCCTTTTGACGTTTAATTTATCGGTCTAAAACTAATACAACCATTTTCTGATTGCTCCGTGACTTTGCGGCTCTGAACTCGAGCCTTCATGTCTTGATGCGAGGTTGTGATAAGGGGAGTAGTTATGATAAATTATTAGACATGGCTAACCTAAGTACACTGCAGAACAGAAGACTACAGGACATAGCCATTCTTATGTATAAGGTAAAGAACAATTTATCTCCTAATTACATATGTAGCCTTTTTCAAATTCCACAACTTAGGTACACACTGCGTAATAATGATTTTGGTATACCTAGATTTAATACTGTCACTTTTGGAAAACATTCGCTTAGATATATGGGACCCAAAATATGGGCAATTGTACCAAGAAATGTAAGAGAACTGACATCCATATCATCTTTTAAATGTAACATACGTAGAATAGACCTTGTTTCTAAATTGACTGATAGTAAATGTGATTTTTATGTAAGACTTAGGTTAGATTTTTAATTGTACATATATATTGTTTTATTTTTAAATTTCTCAAATTTTTAGGTAGTATTTAGTGTCCCCAGTTAGTGGTTGTATAACTGCTATTTTAGATTTGACACATAAATAAAGGTTGTTGTTGTTGTTGTTGTTATGATGGCGTGAGAAATCGAGTCAGCCAAGTTTACTTCCTTAACGATCGCAAACCGCAAGTACAATCTCACAAAGGAATGACGTTACCATCATAGCAACGGCACGTTTCAAGTTTGCATAAATTTCTCTTTGTTCAGAGTCGTGAAAAACAAGCAACACGACGCAGATATTTTTTCTCAACTTCTTTATGTAAATCGAATTCAGTTCAACAATTAAACTCGCAAAAGTTGTTAGTCCAGTCTACAAAGCTGTGGTTGGAGTTGTACGACGAAACAACTTTCAATCAGTAGTTGTGACTTGCGTGTCGATTGAAATCCGACCTTCTTACGAATGATCGGTGGCCAGTGATAAACAGGAAAAAGTTCGCAGGTCGTGATTCACACAAATTTCTTAAAATAGCTTATGCAGCTAACCACGATGAAACAGAAAAACTCGACTGAGGTTCCTTCTCTTAAACTAAAGCTATACGGCAAAAAAATTGGAGATTACTCGTCACTACAGCGCAAACTTGCAAAGAAACAAAATTGATGTAACAATTTTATTTACATTCATCTACGACAAGAGAATATCAACTGTTTATAATCTCTTCTACGATAAGTTTTTCTTACCTTAATGAAACTGAGTAGAGTAGAATTTTTGTAGATTATCTGTTGATGGCTGATGGAAATCTGGAGTAGATAATAAGCTGCAAATATCCGAAAATCAATTTGATAGATTAGCTCAACGCAAATACTGACTGTGTTCTGCGAAGCAAAACTGTTTTATAGTTTTCTCAGAAATTTCTGAGCGGGCCGGGAAGCTCAGTTCGCAAATTTGATAGGCTCATCACACACTCGTACCCAGTTCACCTTTTTTGAGGCACGGATGACGGTTGGGCGATCAATTTACCTTAGAAGAAATATAATGGCTTTTCAAATTGTATTAGGGCGTGATGCGACGGAGAGTTTTTTCAACTAGAAGTTCCCAAACTTTTTTGATGTATTGAACGATTTTGGCATTGCTTATTTAGGATCTTCGAATTTAGCTGATCCAGCAAAAACTTTTGCTACCGTTTCAATTTCAAAACTTCACATCAAGTTATTCTTTCGGAAAAAATGTGAGAGGAAACTTAAGTGGATTTGTAGCCCTGAATTACACTCGTTCATCACCTTTGAAGCGAGAAGATGCCACTTGAATACAAGAAATAAGGAGAAACTTGTTTGCAAATGTTTCTCTGACCTAAGATTACCTTATACAAGCTAGAGGGTATGTTTAATGGAATATGTTTAAATCCCGTTCCCTGGTTGCATCATTTTCGTACGCTTTTCCGCCCTCTTAAGGAAGAGTCGTTTATTTACAGCCGGTGGGGGAGAAGGGGAATCAGCATCGCTACCAGAGTTAAAGGGGGGGGAGGGGGAAGCGGGGATTATAGGAATATTACAGAGCCTAAAGGGACGATCAGGTAAGTTTTAATCGTAACTCAACCAAAATCCTCCAAATACCTTCCCCCCGCGCTTGGAAAGCGATGCACTTGATAAAATTGTCCCGTCTTTTGTTCTACGTTTTTCCTGCACTTGTCGCCGGTCGAATAATTTTCCCTTTCTAGTAGTCAAAGAAATTTGACTTTGTGCTCTCACTTGAGATGTTGGGGTGTTCAGCATTAGAAGAGTGGAGCGACTTTTACTGTCTAGTTTGCTGTGCAGCAAAATCAAGTTACTTTCTACATTCAGTTTAAATTGCTGAGGTTTCACTATCTGTGAGGAATCTCAGAGAGATTTGGAAGTGCACTGTCGACATTTTTATCAAGTGTTCATGGAAAGGAAACGGGGATTTTTTTTGACTAAAGAATTATTATCGCGTGTCGAGGAATAAACCTTGGGCCGTGTTCTATTGATTTTCACCGTTTCATACCCCACTATTATTTGCTGACAACCGGAGCCTGACTTCAAAGAGCCTGCGTAGACGATAGCGGTCGCTACCTAGACTTTTTCACCTGACTCGAACTGGTTCAAAACAGGTTGAAAACGTTTACCGACCAATTCAACTGTCCTTAAAAAGGCTCCTCCCCAAAGAATACGAACTTAAAAGCGGCTAACTCCCCACATTACAACACCAAATAAACAGACAAATGGTAGATCAATGAATTTAGAGCAGCGTTATATTCTCCTTAACTGAAATAAGAATAGAAATCAGCGAGGAAAAGAAAAAGCGTTTCGATATTTGAGATTACAAGCATTGATAACAGTAACAGCATACAAAAAGCCTAACAAAACTATGAAAAGCTATAAAAATGTAAATTGTTTCCACTCTCTGTTTCACCCGTCATAAGAATCTAAAACATCAACATGTTTTCTTGAAAGTTACTTGTAAAACAATGAAAAAAGCTGAATGTCGAACGTTAACGCTTACTATTCTTTACACCTCGAAATCTGGTGTTATTCTGTAATGATAGCGTACTACTGAAATACTTCTGCGAAATTACTTAAAGTTCCTTTACTGACTGCATCTATCGCGTAATTGAGGGTTACTTTGTTCAACTTTGAGTTACAAAAACAGCAAGCCTTCCACAATGGCTGAGATGCTCAGGACTACCAACCCCATCCCCACAAGTGTCCCGCTGGCGTTAGACTTAGATTCAGAGCTTGTGCTAAACTTCAGGATCGTAGTTGAGCCGTTCTGAGGTTTGTACTGATCTACAAAGGGTGGCCAGTTTTTTCCAGTTGCTTCGTCGTAAATGCTCCAGAACCAGTCCTTAATAGTATCCTTAAAAAACAAAACAGGAAGCGTTACTGCGGCGATAATCTATACTCGATCCAACTATCCTGACGTACGTAAATGTAATATTTGTGCTATCTCCTCCACACCTTCCCACCATTTTTAACGATGCCAAAATGGTGCGTTTTTGCCATCGCGCATCTTCTTTGTTCTACTGAAGAAAGAGAGCGGAATTTGAGCGTAGGATGGGGATATTTGTTCCATTTTGTTCTGTCTTATGGATTGGGGTTTCGCAGTGCAAGTAGCTTTTGTAGTAACAAACTAGGAGTCCAAATTTGCTTTATAACTGCACTAACACCTTGAAGCGAACAATAAGGGAATCCGTAAATGCCCACTGATGACGTACCTCTTGAGTACCGTTCATGGCAGTTACAAAATGTCCCTGTCCGCCGTAATATGTGGATGAATACTTATTAAAAGGGCCCTCGGGATTTTCATCTGCAGCTTTGTTTATGATTTCTGTAAGTGTAGTGCCGCTGGCGACTTTGGTGGTGTAGGGAGGAGGGATGGGCTTCATGATGACGTCCGGATTCCACTCCATTGCAATGGTAACTGTGATCGCAGAGGGTGGAACCTAGAACGATATGAAGCACATTAGTACATGCAAAATCGCTGGTTGAACCTTCTCCGCCAAACTTCTCAAATATAGTCCCACCGTTTCCCACATGTATTTTTGGGGGAGCAAGGATGGTGCAGTGGTGAGAGTTCTCGCCACCCATTTCTGTGCCCTGGGTTCGATTCCCGAACCTGGCGTCACATGCGAGTTGAGTATGTCTTTGGTTCTCGTCCTTGCTTCAAGGGTTTTTCTCCAGGTCCTTCGGTTTTACTCCCTCCTCAAAAATCAACATTTCAAATTTCAATTCAACCTCAATGGAAACGGAGGACTATAAGAGCCACCTAATGGAATGTCCTTTGCTAAATTTACATTTTGATTTTGTATTTTCCTTGTTAATGTCTAACATCGTTGGTCTGAGGATTTTTAAAATAAATAGATTGAACACAAGTACACGTGACTTCGGTAAAACAATGAAAAGGCGGATCTCAGAAGACCAGAGAAGTGGTGGTCATTCAAAAATTTGTCATAGGTTTTAAGACCGTGACGGAATACCACGTCAAGGGCAAAGCATTTAGTTACATCGAGCACATCTGATTTTGGTTAGATTCGTTCTTTATAGCTGGAACTAATTTCTACCTCGTTGCTCTGATTATGCCTCGCTGACAAATCCTGATAGAAAATGGCTGAACGTGGCGTTAATAACGAGTTACTTTCCCTTATCTGATCACGGGAATACTAGGTACGTACAACATCGCCCAGAATTGTCCTGGTTCAGTTAACCAGCTCGAGGCATAAGCGTCGATCAATTCGAAGCCTCAACCCTTCCTCCCCCCACCCTCCCACGGCAACCCACGGGCATTTGACTGTCGTCCGGGTCCGGGGTCGGGAATTCTACCTTGTCAAGTCTTTCCATCGGAATAAACTTTTAATATGGAGCGGGATTGCCCGGGGATATGTCCCCATAAAAATTAATCAAAGGAAACTTTCGTGGTTTGAGTCGTTGCCTTTTGCTTTTCTTTCCCTTTTTGTTTTTTTTGGCTATTTCTAGTTTCTTCATTTTTCTACAAAGTTTATCAAGAGGCCGTGGCTTTTATGTACTGAACCCAGTTTCCCGGGCCCACATCCTTACATATCGAGCCGGTACTGGATACTAACCGGAGTATTGGAATGGATTTTGCACATTCCACTAACATTCCCATTATTATCATGACTTGAGTAACTTGGAAATTGAGCGAAATTGAAGACAGTTGCGGAGTCGTCATATGGCACGTAAGAGCTCACTCCACATTCAAGTGGCGCTCCAGTTTGCTCATCATAAATCGTCCAGTAGGAATTTGTGCTAGGGTCGTTTTCTATGCCATTTATGGTGGTGATGAAATAACCCATGACGCTGTAGTACGTGCTTTTGTATTCGTTAAAAGGGCCTTGTTTCTCGCTGTCAGCAGCTTTGTTCATGATGTCAATCAGAAGAGTTCCTTTGGGAACCTTTGTAGTATAATTCTCTGGAATCGGTTTATCAATGACGGTGACATTCCATTCAAGCTTAAGGGTGACTGTGATCTGCAAGGAATGAACAGTCATGAGTAAGTGTTAAAGCAATTTTCAATTTCTTATCGAAATTATTTATTGTGAGGAAGTTATCAAACATGTACCATATTTTGCTCTTGAGAGGTCGTTGATTCCCAGTGATTTTGTCTTTTGTTCTATTTTATCGCTTTGGCTTTCGTTGACAACACTCACAAGTGTATCATAGGATATTGTTTGACGACATGTGAAGCTTGGGATCACAAAAGTATGATAAATGAGGGACTAAGAGGATAACATATTTGTTTAAAACTCGAATAGCATGTTCAACCACGCATCATTTTCAGATGATATTCATCTGGCCTAACTTCTAACATTTTCCACCAGTTTCTCGTATTGGTCTTACAGTGTAACACCTTTTTAAAGTGATAAACCGTCACGAATGAAAGAAGATAGCTCATAGACGAGGTATTCGCTGAATTTTTACCATATTTTCTTAGATTAAGGAGGCTCGGCTTGAACTTCATTATAACACGTATAAACTTACCTCTGTAGTAGGTACTGGGTTCGCCATCGAGGCTGAAATTAGAAATAAATTCAATTTTTTTACCAAGAGGGTTGTAATTCTTAGTTAAAAAACAGAAATGTGCAAAAAGCGAAAAAAACAGCCTTTGTAACCCCTATTTTTTATTTTACACCTTAAAATGATCGGCAGGACTTCACTTCTTGTGAAAACTGTCCCTTCCAACTTTATTTTGGAATTTTGTTATTTGTTGCTTCACACAAATGAACAACAACTTTGCAAGAATGGCTGCCTGTTAGGATCGAGAATCGTCCGTCAACGACCATTTTGGTAAATTGTCCAAGTTTTGCCCAAAAATATCTTTTGGTAAACTATTGATAAAAATAAAGTTTAAAGGTTGCAGAAATTCTTATTGCAAAAATTTGAAAAACGCAGTTCAAGTGCGGTTTCCCGGCTGACAAATTGTTCAAAATTTACTGCGAAAATCAAGCCCCGTCGAAGGCTTGTAATGAATTTAATTTACACCTTTCCTACACTATTACTATCCAACACCCTCAAAAGGCGCAAAAAATGGAAGCGAAAATGGATGAAATTTAAGGTGATAAAATTGTACCTGGTAACTCATTTTTTTTACTTTTCAAGTGCATATTAACAGTCATATTACCATTAACAGTCGCTTCTAGGATTCACTCGTTATACCTTTTGTCCCCCCCCCCTCCGATAATTACCCAGAACTCATCTTTACTGATCATGAGAAACTTTTAGACTGCTGCGGAATGCAAAAAGGCAAGTGAGTCTATTAATCTCACTAAGTGGACGTATGAACGGTTTCACACTGAAACAATACCTCAGTTTGAGAGTTTAGCGATTCAACAGCGCGTGTTTTGGACCCGGAAACAACTCAACTTGCCAAAGGTTGACACAATTTACCCGGCTCCTAGTGTCTAAATGATTATGACGTTCGACACTGCGTTTATCTCATTTCGCTCTACGGGAGTAGATCCAATGATCAATTGATGAAAACGAACTCGTTTATTTAATTTTTGTATTTTTCGTTATTGATGAGTTTTAAACATTTGCACATTCATTTCTCAAAACAGGTCAAACTCTAAGTTGAAAAGAAGACAAATCTGGTGGCCTAACATCATAAAACTTTTAGTCATACAACATCAAGTTTCATTCACCTTGTGTGGTGCCAGTGATTGTAAAGAAGAGTGACAAACTAATCCAGACGGTAAACGATGTCTTCATCTTCGCTGTTTACAGACCAACTCGTCAGTGTCTTGACCTTAAAAAATTTTTAAAAAATATACTGGTGATAATTTGCATATGAATTTCTGCTCCCGACCAAAGGTTCTCTAATAACATTTCAGTAACATATAACTTATGTATCTAACCACGGTGAAACCGAAAAACTCGACTGAGATTTCTGCCCTTAATTGAACTAAACCTATATAGCAAAAAATTGGAGATTACTCGTCACTACAGCGCAAACTTGCAAACAAACAAAATTAATGCAAATATTCTATCAACATTCATCTACGACAAGAGAATATCGAGTGTTTATAATCTCCTGTCTACGATTATTCAGTTTTTCTTACAATAATTTAATTGAAAAGAGTTGAATTTTTGTAAATTAACTGTTGATGGCCGATGGAAATCTGGAGTAGATAATAAGCTAACAGTTTTATAGTTTTCTCAAAAATTTCTGGGCGGGTCGGCAACTACAGTCAACCTCAATTTCTGTTTGTTCAAGCTCGTGAAAAACAAGCGACACGACGAAAACATTTTTTCGCAACTTCTTAATTGAAATTCAATTCCGTTCCACAAATAAACTTTCAAAAGTTGTTAGTCCGGTCTACAAAGCTATGTTTGGAGTTCTACCACGAAACAGCTTCGGTCAGTAGTTGCGACTTGCGCGTCACTTGAAATCGCAGCATTTCACGAATGATCGGTGGCCAGCGATAAACAGGAAAAAGTTCGCATATCGTGATTCACAGAAATTTCTCAATATAGCTTATGCATCTAACTTCGATAAAATAGGAAAACTCGACTGAGATTTCTTCCCTTTAAACTAAATCTCTACAGCGAAAAAAAAAATTGGAGCTTACTCGTTACTACAGCGCAACCTTGAAACAAACAAAATTAATGTAACAATATTATCAACATTCATCTACGACAAAAGAACGCTCTGAACTAGAGCTTTTATGTCTTGTCTTAGTGCGAGGTTACGATGGCGTGAGAAATCAAGTCAGCCAAGTTTCTCCTTAACGATCACAAAACTGTAAGTACAAAGCTCACAACCAAATGACGTCACCATCATAGAAAAGGCATTGAATTCCGTTCACCAATAAACTATTATAGCAACGGCACGTTTCAAGTTGCATGAGTTTCTGTTTGCCCAGGCTCGTGAAAAACAACCAACACGTCGAAAACATTTTTCTCAACTTCCTAATGAAATTCAATTCTGCTCAGCAAATAAACTCTCAAAAGTTTTAGTCCGATCTACAAAGCTAAGGCTGGAGTTCTACCACGAAACAGTTTCGTTCAGTAGTTGCGACTTGCGCGTCACTTGAATTCGAAGCAATTTCACGAATGATCAGTGGCCAGTGATAAACAAGAAAAAAGTTTGCACATCGTGATTCACATAAATTTCCTAATATAGCCTATGCATCTAACTTCGATAAAACAGGAAAACTCGACTGAGATTTCTTCTCTTAAACTAAACCTATACAGCAAAAAAATTGGAGCTTACTCGTCACTGCAGCGCAACCTTGAAAACAAACAAAATTAATGTAACAATATTATCAACATTTATCTACGACAAAAGAATATCAGCTGTATAGAATCTCTTTTCTACGATTATTCAGTTTTTCTTACCTTTATGAAATTGAAAACAGTTGATTATTTGTAGATTAACAGTCAATGGCCGATGAAAATCTTGATTAGATAATGGCCGATGAAAATCTGGAGTACGTAATAAGCTGACAATATCCGAAAATCAATTTCAAAGATTGGCTCAACGCAACGACCGACTGTGCTCCGCGAAGCAAATCAGCTTTATAGTTTTCTCAGAAATTTCTAGGCAGGTCGGGAACGTTAGTCCACAAATTTGATAGGCATATTACATACTCGTACCCAGCTCACCTTTTTGAGACACGGATCACGGTTGGGCGATCAATTTACCTTCGAAGAAATATAACGGCTGTCCGACCAAAAGACAGACCGCTTTGACGATCATTTCAACGGTCTAATACCATTGCAACCTTATTTTCGATTGCCCATTTTATCAAGTCTCTACTTTGCGGCTCTGAACTAGAGCTTTTATGTCTTGTCTTGGTGCGAGGTTACGATGGCGTGAGAAACAATTAATTCCAAGTTTATCCTTAACGATTACAAAACCGCAAGTACAAAACTCACAACTAAATGACGTCACCATTGTAGAAAAGGCATTAAACTCCGTTAACCAATGAACCATCATAGCAACGGCACGTTTCAAGTTACATGAGTTTCTGTTTGTTAAAGCTCGTGAAAAACAACCAACACGACGAAAACAAATTTCTCAACTTCTTAATTGAAATTCAATTCTGCTCAGCAAATAAACTCTCAAAAGTTGTTAGTCCGGTCTACAAAGCTATGGTTGGAGTTCTACTACGAAACACTTTCACCAAGTAGTTGCGACTTGCGCGTCACTTGAAATCGGAGCATTTCACGGATGATCGGTGGCCAGCGATAGATAGGAAAAAGTTCGCACATCATGATTCAAACAAATTTCCTAACATAACTTATACATCTAACTTCGATAAAACAGGAAAACTCGACGGAAACCTCTTCCCTTTAAATTAAACCTATACAGCGAAAAAATTGGAGCTTACTCGTCACCACAGCGCAACCTTGCAAACAAACAAAATTAATGTAACAATTTTATCAACACTCATCTACGACAAGAGAATATTAATATCCAAAAATCAATTTAAAAGATTGGTTCAACACAACGACTGATTGGCAATTCGGGAACGTCAGTCCGTAAATTTGATAGACTCATTACATACTCGTACCCAGTTCACCTTTTTGAGACACGGATCACGGTTGGGCGATCAATTTACCTTTGTAGGAATATACTGGCTTTCCGACCAAGAGACGGACCGCTTTGACGATCATTTCAACGGTCTAATACCATTGCAACCTTATTTTTGATTTGAAGTTTCTCCTTAACGATCACAAACCGCAAGTACAAAGCTCACAACCATATGACGTCACCATCATAGAAAAGTCGTTGAATTCCGTTCACCAATAAACCATCATAGCAACGGCACGTTTCAAATTGTATGAGTTTCTGTTTGTTCAAGCTCGTGAAAAACAAGTGACACGACGAAAACATTTTTTCTAAACTTCTTAACTGAAATTGAATTCAGTTCAACAATTAAATAGTTTCATTCAGTGGTTGCTACTTGACAATGCACGTCCCTTGAAATTGGAGTATTTCACGTATGATCGGTGGCTAGCGATAAACAAGAAAAAGTTTACACATCGTGATTCACCCGAATTTCCTAATATAGCTTATGCATCTAACCGCGATAAAACAAAAAAAACTCCATTGAGACTTCTTCCCTTTAAACTAAATCTATAGAGCAAAAAAATTGGAGCTTTCTCGTCACTACAGCGCAACCTTACAAACAAACAAAATTATTGTAATAATTTTATTCAAATTCATATATGACAAGAGAATATCAACTGTTTATAATCTCTTGTCTACGATTATTCAGTTTCTCTTACCTTAATGAAATTGAGTAGAGTTTAATTTTAGTAGATTATCTGTTGATGGTCGATGGAAATCTGGAGAGGGTAACTGACGCCTACAATATCCGAAAATCAAATTGAAAGATTGGCTCAACACAACGACTGACGGTGTTCCGCGAAAAAAAACAGTTTTATAGTTACTCGGGCGTTCCAAAAGAAACTCCGGGCCTATTTCTCCCCTCGTTCAGTCACAAATCGCCGTTTGAGCTTTAAAGCGTATGCGAAGAGTAAGACATCGGAGCGGTCGCTGAACGCTGTGCGCATCGCTGAGCACATAGTAAGCAGAGTGACGTTCCATGACTTCAAAGAGCTGAAGTCACATAGAAACGAGCACGCCGTTCGCGGTAGACCCACACGAAAAGAAGTTCAGCATTTTAGGAACGGGTCGGTCCGCATGCCTTCCGAGAGATCTATTTGGGAGCGAACATTTATGAGTGAACCTATCGAGAATCTTGTTATACTAAATGAGCTATCAAATCTGAATATTGATAAAAAGCATCTTCAGAAGCGTCATCTATTTTTAGACGTGATCGTGAACCAAGCAGTATTCCAGTACGAACTCTACAAAGTCTACGAAACAAGAGCAGAAAGGTTAGAGAATTTGTTTTCAAATGTATTCGTTCAAGTACACCTAAGCCTAAAGGGACGATCAGGTAAATTTTAATTGTAACTCAACCAAAATCCTCCAAATACCTCCCCTCACCCCCCACGCTATGCACTTGATAAAGTTTCCCGTCTTTTGTTCCACGTTTTTCCTGCACTTGTGGCCGGTCCAATAATTTTCCCTTTCCGGCAGTCGAAGAATTTGACTTTGTGCTCTCACTTGAGATGTTAGGGTGTTCAGTGTCAGAAGAATGGAGCGACTTTTACTGTCTTATTTGCTGTGCAGCAAAATCAAATTACTTCCTACATTCAGTTGAAAATTGCTGAGGTTTCACTACCTGTAAGAAATCTCAGAAAGAGTGGGAAGTGCACTGTCAACATTTTTATCAAGTGTTCATGGAAAGGAAACGTGGATTTTTTTGGATTAAAGAATTATTATCGCGTATCGAGGAATAAACCTTGGGCCGTGTTCTATTGATTTTAACCGTTTCATCCCCAACTATTTTTTATTGACAACCGGAGCCTGACTTCCAAGAGCCTGCGTAGACGACAGCGGTCGCTACCTATGCTTTTTCACCTAACTCAAACTGGTTCAAAACCGGTTCAAAACGTTTGTCGACCGATTCAACTGTGCTTAAAAAGGCTTCTTCCTAAACAATACGACATTACAATACTAAATAAACAGACAAATGGCAGATCAATGAATATAGAGCAGCATTAAATTCTCCTTAACTGAAATAAGAATAGAATAAAACTATGAAAAGCTGTAAAAATCTTCATCGTTTCGACTCTTCATTATACTCGTCACAAGACTCTAAGACATCAACATGTTTTCTTGAAAGTTACTTGTAAGACAACGAAAGCTTAATGTTGAACTTGAGCGCATGCGGCACCCGAAATCTAGTGTTATTCTGTAACGCTAGCGTACTACTGAAATGCTTCTACGAAATTGCTTGAAATTCCTTTACTGACTGCATCTAAAAAACAGCAAGCCTTCCACAATGGCTGAGATGCACAGGAAAATAAAATCAGAGGCAAGGTGCCAGTTTTTCGATAAACGTGGCTATCCTGTCTCTGTCGTTCAAGCGAGCTACCACCGTGTCCAACAAACTGATCGACAGTCAGCACTACAAACGTCACTGAAGGAAAATACCGATCGCATTCCATTCACTCTCACATTTTACTCTCACAGCTACGCAGTTAAATCTATCATTCTTAAAAACCTTTAATGACTTCAAAATGATTCAGAGACTGGTAGCACTACAGTTTCTTTAGCAACTTACTCCCTTTATTGATACATATCACAACCGGAACTCAGTGGGGCTTTTCAACCAGTATTTGACTAATGGGAAAATACAAAACATATGGAGTATATGAAAAATAGCTATTTTCCAAACTCTACATATCAAAAGCAAATAAAAAAAAACGTTCTCTGATCACTATACGTGAGCGTTATGGTAAATTTGCCTAAATTGACGTTATAACTAAAAAGTATTTGGAAAATCAGTTCAACGCAAGAGCATCGCAATACGATCTTTGAGAAACGAATCAAAAGGTGAAACGTCTAAATTCTTAAGTAAAGCTGAAGTTAACATCATGACTTAGCACTAGATACAGCAAAGTAAAAAAATATTACATAAACTATTACAGTTTTCTTAAAACTAATCATAGGTGGTTTACACTATCTGCTTTGGGTTATGATTTATCCAGAGGACCCCCCATCCTCGTCCAAACGCTTAACCACGAGTAAGTCTTTCGTGGTGACTCTTGCCTGTTTCTTCATAGCTGAAGACTGTAGTTGACCCGTCCTGTGGCTGGTATTGGTCTATTCCCGTTGGGGTGAGATTTCCAGTCTGTTTGTCTCTTATCATCCAGTATAGATTGTTGGCGGGATCCTGAACAGTCAAAATCAAAGAAATTTTAGTTAAAGGAAAATTTTTGTCATGAGACTTCTTCTGGATGGTATCTGGATTCGGCAAAAATTTGCGAAAATAGATTTACGAAGAGCGTAGCATGAAGAGGCATTTGACACATTTGAAGAGTTTCCGTTTTCAATTCGTGATGCAAGAAATGCTATTTAAAGTATACGTGACGCGTGAATTTTTTTTCTAATTCGTGTGTGAAATGGAATTAAAACACCTCTCCCAGGAAAAGGCAGAAAGAGAAAGAAATCATGAAAATGCAATACCTGTTCAATCCCATCCATGGCGATGACAAAATCCCCTGTACCACCATAGTAGGTGGTGGAGTATTTATTGAATGGCCCCTCAACATCTTCGTTTGCAGCTTTCTTCAAGATGTCAATAAGAAACGTACCTTGAGGAACCTTTGTGGTGTAGGGGTCAGGGATTGGTTTGTCCACGATCTTTGTATCCCAGTGCAGTGCAATTGTAACAGTGATGAGGACCATCTCGTTCTAAGTAGATGCAAAATGTTACTTTTGTTATTTTGGTGCTATGAAACTGTGATGATGTCTGTGAAGGTTCGACTCCGTTCCCAGGGCTCTCTCTGATTCATCCTCCGAGTAAGAAAGAGCCTTGGGAACGAGATTGATGGAGATTAAAAGATAGTCCCGTCACAAACTTCACCGAAATGAGCCATTATTAGTAACCTTTGAATTACGCTTCGCCATGTTAGCCATGATATAAGGCAATTTTATAGTTTTCTTGCAAGAAAAATGTCACCCTGTTTCATTTCAATCAACATAATGGCTCTCATCAGTTAAAGACCACAAAAACAGCTGGGCTGCCAAAACCAATCAAAATAAAATTTACATCGCATGCACTCAATACAAAGATTGCCGAATTAATCCGGAAAAAGTCTCCTCGAGCAAAAGACATACTGGTTTGACGTTCATTATATCGTTCTAAAACCAACGCAACTATTTCCCGATTGCTCCTTTTGTAAAGTCTCCGCTTTGCGGCTCTGAACTCGAGCCTTTATGTCTTGATACGAGGTTACAATAGCGTGAGAAATCGAGTCAGCCAAGTTCTCTTCCTTAACGATCGTGAGCTCACAAATAAATGACATCACCATCATGGCAAGGGCACGCTTCAAATTGTATGAATTTCTGTTTATTAAGACTTGTGGAAAACAAGCGACACGACGAAATCAGTTTTTCTGACTCGTCACTACAGCGCAACCTTGCAAACAAACAAAATTAATGTAACAATTTTATCAACATTCATCTACGACAAGAGAATATCAATATCCGAAAATCGATTTCAAAGATTGGCTCAACGCAACGACTGACTGTGTTCCGCGAAGCAAATCAGAAGCTTTATAGTTTTCTCACAAATTTCTAGGCAGGTCGGGAACGTCAGTCCGCAAATTTGATAGGCTCATTACATACTCGTACCCAGTTCACCTTTTTGAGACACGGATCATGATTGGACCATCAATTCACCTTTGTAGGAATATACTGGCTTTCCGACCAAAAGACAGACCACTTTGATCGATCAATGGATTAATACCAATGCAACCTTATTTTCGATTGCCCGTTTTGTCAAGTCTCTACTTTGCGGCCCTGAACTAGAGCTTTTATGTCTTGTCTTAGTGCGGGGTTACGATGGCGTGAGAAATCGAGTCAGCCAAGTTTATCCTTAACGATCACAAAACCGCAAGTACAAAGCTCACAACTAAATGACGTCACCATCATAGAAAAGGCATTGAATTCCGTTCACCAATAAACAATCATGGCAACGGCACGTTTCAAGTTGCATGAGTTTCTGTTTGTTCAAGCTCGTGAAAAACAACCAACACGACGAAAACATATTTCTCAACTTCTTAATTGAAATTCAATTCTGCTCAGCAAATAAACTCTCAAAAGTTGTTAGTCCGGTCTACAAAGCTATGGTTGGAGTTCTACTACGAAACACTTTCACCAAGTAGTTGCGACTTGCGCGTCACTTGAAATCGGAGCATTTCACGGATGATAGGTGGCCGGCGATAAACAAGAAAAAAGTTCGCACATCGTGATTCACATAAATTTCCTAATATAGCATATGCATTTAACCACGATAAAACAAAAAACTCCATTGAGACTTCTTCCCTTAAACTAAACCTTTACAGCAAAAAGATTGGAGCTTACTCGTCACTACAGCGCAACCTTGCAAACAAACAAAATTAATGTAACTATTTTATCAACATTCATCTACGACAAGAGAATATCAACTGTTTATAATCTCTTTTCTACGATTATTCAGTCTTTCTTACCTTTATGAAATTGAAAACAGTTGAATATTTGTTAATTAACAGTCAGTGGCCGATGGAAATCTGGATTAGATAATGGCCAAGGAAAATCTGGAGTAGATAATAAGCTGACAATATCTAAAAATCAGTATCAAAGATTGGCTTAACGCAACGACTGACTGTGTTCCGCGAAGCAAATCAGAAGCTTTATAGTTTTCTCATAAATTAGTGTGCAGGTCGGGAACGTCAGTCCGCAAATTTGATAGGCTCATTACATACTCGTACCCAGTTCACTTTTTTGAGACACAGATCACGGTTGGGCGATCAATTTACCTTCCAAGAAATATAATGGCTGTCCGACCAAAAGACGGACTGCTTTGACGATCATTTCAACGGTCTAATACCATTGCAACCTTATTTTCGATTGCCCATTTTATCAAGTCTCTACTTTGCGGCTCTGAACTAGAGCTTTTATGTCTTGTCTTGGTGCGGGTTACGATGGCGTGAGAAATCAAGTCAGCCAAGTTTATCCTTAACGATCACAAAACCGCAAGTACAAAGCTCACAACTAAATGACGTCACCATCATAGAAAAGGCATTGAATTCCGTTCACCAATAAATCATCATAGCAACGGCACGTTTCAAGTTGCATGAGTTTCTGTTTGTTCAAGCTCGAGAAAAACAAGCGACACGACGAAAACATTTTTCTCAACTTCTTAATTGAAATTCAATTCTGCTCAGCAAATAAACTCTCAAAAGTTGTTAGTCCGGTCTACAAAGCTATGGTTGAAGTTCTAATACGAAACAACTTCTGTCAGTAGTTGCGACTTACGCGCCACTTGAAATCGGAGCATTTCAGGAATGATCGGTGGCCAGCGATAAACAGGAAAAAGTTCGCACATCATGATTTACACAAATTTCCCAATATAGCTCATGCATCTAACTTCGATAAAACAGGAAAACTCGACCGAGACTTCTTCCCTTCAATTAAACCTGTACAGCAAAAAAATTAGAGCTTGCTCGTCACTACAGCGCAACCTTGCAAACAAACAAAATTAATGGAACAATTTTATCAACATTCATCTACGACAAGAGAATATCAATATCCGAAAATCAATTTCAAAGATTGGTTCAACACAACGACTGACTGTGTTCCGCGAAGCAAATCAGAAGCTTTATAGTTTTCTCACAAATTTCTAGGCAGTGCGAGAACGTCAGTCCGCAAATTTGATAGGCACATTACATACTCGTACCCAGCTCACCTTTTTGAGACACGGATCACGGTTGGGCGATCAATTTACCTTTGTATGAATATACTGGTTCTCCGACCAAAAGACGGACTGCTTCCATCATAGCAACGGCACGTTTCAAGTTGCATGAGTTTCTGTTTGTTCAAGCTCGTGAAAAACAAGTGACACGACGAAAATATTTTTTCTAAATTTCTTAACTGAAATTAAATTTAGTTCAACAATTAAATCTCAAAAGTTGTTAGTCCGGTCTACAAAGCTAAGGCTGGAGTTCTACTACGAAATAGTTTCATTCAGTGGTTGCGACTTGACAATGCGCGTCACTTGAAATCGGAGCATTTCACGTATGATCGGTGGCCAGCGATAAACAAGAAAAAGTTCACACATCGTGATTCACCCAAATTTCCTAATATAGCTTATGTATCTAACCACGATAGAACAAAAAAAACTCCATTGAGACTTCTTCCCTTTAAACTAAATCTATAGAGCAAAAAAATTGGAGCTTACTCGTCACTACAGCGCAACCTTACAAACAAACAAAATTATTATAATAATTTTATTCAAATTCATATATGACAAGAGAATATCAACTGTTTATAATCTCTTGTCTACGATTATTCAGTTTCTCTTACCTTAATGAAATTGAGTAGAGTTTAATTTTTGTAGATTATCTGTTGATGGCCGATGGGAATCTGGAGAAGGTAATTAGCTGACAATATCCGAAAATCAAATTGAAAGATTGGCTCAACACAACGACTGACTGTGTTCCGCGAAGAAAAACAGTTTTATAGTTACCCGGGCGTTCCAAAAGAAACTCGGGACCTATTTCTCCCCTCGTTCAGTCACAAATCGCCGTTTGAGCTTTAAAGCGTATGCGTAGAGTAAAACATCGGAGCGGTCACTGAACGCTGTGCGCATCGTTGAGCACATGGTAAGCAGAGTGACGTTCCATGACTTTAAGGGAGCTGAAATTACATAGAAACGAGCACGCCGTTCGGAGTAGACCCACACGAAAAGAAGTTCAGCATTTTAGGAACGGGTCGGTCCGCATGCCTTACGAGAAATTTATTTACGAGCGAACATTTATGAGTGAACCTATCGAGAATCTTGTTATACTAGATGAGCTATCAAATCTGAATATTGATAAAAAGCATCTTCAGAAGCGTCATCGTATTTTTAGACGTGATCGTGAACCAAGCAGTATTCCAGCATGAACTCTACAAAGTCTGAGAAACAAGAGTAGAAAGGTTGGAGAATTTGTTTTCAAATGTAGTCGTTCGAGTACATGTAAGTCTTCGAATATGCATTGTTATATTAAGGTTGGTAAACATACGGTTAAATCCTTTGAGATCGACAATATGTAAAGGTTTAATAAATTTAAAATCTCGAAGTAGACGGAATTGTCCACTGTTTTCTTGTATCAAAGTTATGTGTCTTTACAAGAGTCAAACCCATGTTGCAAATTATTGTAAACTTAAGCTGAGCACAGATGTAGTAGAGATCTATTTACAAGCGAATATTTATGAGTGAACCTATCGAGAATCTTGTTATACTAGATGATCAAATCTGAATATTGATAAAAAGCATCTTCAGAAGCGTCATCATCTCGACTCGACTGAGATTTCTTCACCATCATGGCAACGGTTCGCTTCAAGTTGCATCAATCTTTGCGACACGACGAAAACATTTTTCCCAACTTCTTAATTTAAATTGAATTTATTTCAACAATTAAACTCGCAAACAGTTCAACTACTTAGCTACTTATTAACTTCAGGAAACCAAAGTTCGACAGTTAATGTTTGTTTTGTTTCTTCATGTTCGCTTTTGGTTGACCTATTTTAACCTTTTTACGGCAATATTGGCCAAATAACCTCCATACTGACACGTTCTTTCCAACTTTATTTTAGAACTTTGTTATTTGTTGCTTCACACAACTGAACAACAACTTTGCAAGAATGGCTGTCTGTCAGGA